GTGACACCACTCATGGGGAACTCGAGAATCCCAGAGAGGAAAGTAAGGAAGATGCCAGCGAAGAAAGTGTCTCGTGTAATAGACGTGCAGAAGAATAATCAATTGAAGTATAATTTCACGGGAGTTCCGGAGACAGATCTGAGGGCCTGCTTCAATCGAGCTACCTGGAGCCCGGCTGTGAACCTGCAGCAACCACCACTCGGGACATCTCACCTGATATTGGGAGACAGCTTAGTCAGAGTGCTGTCGAATTTGAGGACCTCATGGGTCACCACGGTGATTGCCTTTGGAGGCGCGACGATTGCCCAATTATATCGCATGGTGGAGCTGATGAATCCAGGGAAGATACCCAATGTGATGATCTTAGTTGGGACGAATGATATCTCCAGAGGATCAGATGAGCAGGAAGCACTGTGGGAATCAATGATGGTGTGTTTGTTCACTACTCTCTGGCAGAAGTTCAGTTGCGCGGTACTGACCGTTTGCACGGTGCCAATGAACGCAAGAAGCCTGACAGCATCAGAAAGAAGGCACAACGAGGGAGTCATGAGATGGAACAACATCTTGAGAAACCTAGCAAATTGAAATGCCGGAAGAATGATCCTCATGGACATTGAACATGAATTGAGAGCCATGGATCAAGCCAGACTGACCACAGATGGCATCCACTTCGACAGTGTCGAAGGACAAGCTTGGTTGAATCGAGTCTTCCAAGAACGGTTGGATGAGCTGGAAGCAGAACTCTTTGACACAGGAGTGCTGAAGGAAGAGGGAACGGTGAGTGATACGGTGATCACCACCTTTGTGTCTCCTAACCTGGAAACACGCTTGGGTACGGTCCCAGCCGTCACAAATTACCGGCAACAAAGCTCCAGTGAACCAGGTCGAAGAACAGACGTACAGGATCGGTTGGGAGAAGCACCGATGAGGAGGACAATTCATCCTAGGAGAAGGATAGGACCTGTCAACCAACCAATCGAAGAAGTAGCAGGCACATCTAGATCGGACACTAGATCGGAGACGACGAGTACCAGTCGAGAGGAGAGACCGAGCAGAGGCTCATTGATGTGGTCGCGATCCATACCGTCTCCTTGGCATATATACAAAGACGAACTAATGAAGCTGGACCTACAGAGAGTGAGCTTCATCGAAGATGCAAGGAGGATGCTGAATGGAGCGACGCTATCCGTCAGCAGATTGTACTCGATAACCGGCGTAGACTGGTTGATAGCCGCTAGCATAAATTTCAGCTCCACGACGGCCTTGAGATTTGCCGATTTGGAGGGACTGCCCTCCAACAACACAATGGGACCTGTGAATGCAAGACCGTTGCAAGATGTGAGATTGAACCATGATGAGAGGAATCGTGAAGAAAGACCAGGAAGATTCCTGACGGCGAGAGCACCGATTGGACAACACGTGAAGATATTCAGACAGCTGACGACACCACCTGGTCATGTGAAGGAGAGAGTGTACCCAAAACTAGTGAACCAAGATGGTGATGCCCAGAGATATGGCGGATTGACAGCGATAAAGAAAGATGAGACCATCTTCGCCGCCTACGACAAAGCAGAGAACAAAGGAATGATGAAGAAAAGTCAAAACTCAGAATTGTTTTATGTGTGTGAAAAACTCAAGTGAGAAACCAAGCAACCAAGTTGTAATTGAAAACTGAAACATTTAGTTGAGTTTTGAAATTGTTGCATTTATAAATTTGCATTTTGATTTTAACAGAAGTGGCTTTAGAGACACTTATTATTTATTTAGAAAGGCTTAAGGGAAGAGTATATTTAAATATTCCAGCCTGCATGGTTGTTTTTAATCCCTTAGGAAGATTGATCACTTTGTGGTGACGTGGAAGGCTTGAGTAATCTCTTGAAGAGGGAGGTTGTTGCATTGTTCTTTCTAACCACAAAGTTTCTTAGTTTTAATATTCAGGACAATAAACAAGCAAGATTTCCGAAGGGAAGGAGCGTAGTAGGATAATTTTAGCTTGTTGGTTGGCAGGACTGTCCTGCAAGCCAACACCTTTTAAATATAAGAGAAGAAGTTTTAATCGGGACATTGACACTGGAAGTCAGAAAAAATGTTTTATCTTAAGTCATATCCTCAGAGTGCAGGTTAATGAGAGAATTTGAAGGCTATAGTGATGTAGTATGATGCCATTTATATTCTGCAGTGAGTCGATGTGACGTGGATAAAAGTAATTTCGTGCATTTTGTAAATTCTGTTCGATGACACTGTAACCATTTTACGAATATTGTGCGATTCAATGAGGACATTGACCGGACTGTCCGGGGAGTATGTGACATTCGACCAGAATGGCCAGAATGCAATTTGTGCAGACTTCGAATTTTTAGCAGCAAGCCTTCCGAGTTAGTGATTTTGAAGGATTAACGACGTTAATCGGATGATTAGTAGAACAGTGAAGGTCAAGATATTCTGCTATTTTGAAATTTTAAATTTTCGAAGTGATGACGTAACATTTCTGAGAAATGCTGAAACGGCCATTTTTAACAAAAAACGAGTGAAAAAACACAACAACACCATTAGTTGCGCTGACGAGAACAACTTTATCGCAATTGAGGAAATCGAAATTGAAGAAGACGACGACGAATTACAGAGAACGTTCCGAGTTGCAACTATTGTGCTGCTACAATAGTTGCAAGGCCGTTGCAAACAACGGTGAAGGGTAAGAAACCAGCCTTCCGGATTAGGAAGAAATCAAGATCAACGGGCTTGATTCAGCGGATTCAAGAATCCGGAAGGGTCTCGGGACGGAAAACTTTTATTGACTCATATGAACTTTTAGCATCCTGTCATGTCCTGACTTGAATTTAGTTGATATTTGGATTAGTTTTGACAAGGATGAGGTGCTAAGAGTTGGGGGGGGGGGGAAAGGGTTGATCCATCTTCGATGGAGATGATGATTTTTATCTACTGAACAAAAACAATAGTAATATAATAAATAGTAGCCCTGTTTTTAGGAGTGACCTCGTGGTCTGGGGATACTGAGACCCAGCCATGAGCTCACTATTTTTGCATGTAATTCAGTTAATTTGAGCGTTCTGGTCGAAGCCGGAGAACAGTAACGTTTTTGTCGACCCGATGTAAGAAAGACCACCGAAAAGTACTGGCTTGGTAGAGACGGTGAAAAACATGCAAAGCTCTGTTTAGACGCTAGCCAGTCGTCCTAAGACTTAGTTTTGTCATCCGTCGATATGTATCTTCCGGGCGAATGTTACAATCACTTCACTCCAAAATTACGTATTTTCGTGTCTCTCAAGGTCAAACTTCCAGATATGACCGACTGGCACAATTTTGTTTCATTTTAAAAAAATTTTGTTGGCTGACACATTAATTTTGTTACTTACCGTGAGAGAACTTCGAAAAAGCTTTTTGTGTACATCTCATGAACTATTGTTTTGTTCTATATGAATTGTTCTGCGCTTCTTTCACATTTAAAAACAATTTTAAAAACTTTAAATAGCATGTTGCTCCTGTTGCGTTTTCGAAGAAACAGTGAATGGTTACACTAAATAAGTGGAAGAACAATCTGTATCTGTAAATTTTTTCTGCTGCTGTTTGGAACAAAGTTCCACAATATATCCAAATAGTGCACTCTAGAAGTTCTCTAGACCAATCTGAAAATCCAATAGAAGTTTAATTATAGCTTATTCTTGCTTAGAAAGAGAATATGCATTCCCTGCGAGCTCTGAATTTGGTACTGTTTACATATATATTTTTTTCAATTTCGAAATTTGATCCTTGTTACGTTTCATTGAATTTCAGAAGAAATTATTTTCCTCTGCGAGTTTGGACTAGTTTACTCCTTTTGTTGCAGTTTGATTAGCATTCTTATTTTAGTTTGTAGCTTGTTTTCAAAACTTTATTTTGACTTTCTCGTATTACAGATGTTTTTTTTTCCGAAAAACTTTATATGCTTATGTGCACTATTTGTTTTTATTTATGGTAAGTAAACTGTGAAGAACTGTGTACATCTCACGAACTATTAAACTAAGGTTTTGATTTTTTTTCGATTCAAAATTAGGACAAATATGTCTTCAATACGCTACAACAGTGTTTAAGCTTCGTACAGACTGCTTGATGTAGTTCAAAATGGGAGAAAAACTATTCTACGCCATAAGGCATTACCGTCACTTGTTCTTTTTTCCAACTTCTAAGGCTGTACCTCAAGTCCAAAAACGTAAAATTGAAATCTAGTTGGTGGTGTTTTCATTCAATTTTAGTTAAACTCTCGTAGCAATTCTCAATTGATATGTTTTTGAATCGGAACTGATTACGAAGCTTAGACCAGAATAAGCGTTATTCATGACAATAAATTACTTAGCATTGGCATTTGTTAATAATATCAGTCGGTTTTTGAAATGCATAAATTATAAACAAGAAAATCGACTTCAAACCGTGTTTTTTGAACTTTCGTACACATCATTTGGAGGCCTAAATTTTATGAAAACGCCAATAACTACTGAAAAAAGATAATGTAATTGAGTAATTCTTCAAGAAAGTTTTCAAATGAATCATATTTTATGACCCGATGAGAACATTTTCGGCTTGAAGTCCCTAATTTTACTATTCGGCTCGAAGTCCCGTCGGCCTGATGTCCGGCACCCATATTTTTAAAAGTTAATGTGTAAAGCCTTTAGGTTTAATAATTTCGCGAACTCACTATTAGGATATAATGTTTTCACTTTCTCATGTTTTTTAATGACGTGATAACTTATTTTCATTCTCGTGTGAAAACTGACAATTTTAGACCCCGTCTATACTGATACCTGCTTAAAACTTAATATTGGTACTTGCAAAGAGAGTAGCTTAGAGAATTTGCTGTTGATGAAAGTCATTTTTCATTAAGTTCGAAGTAAATATTGTGCAAAAAGGTCTTTAATTTATGGCATGTTAGAGAGCTCAAGCAGCGAGTAAAAAGCCTATGCAATCAAAACTTATGTAAATAAATACAAATACAATTGTTTTCAGAAAAATGAGTTATATTTGCCATGCATGAAGAAAGCTGACTTAGAATTATCTACAATAAGGCAGTCTAATCTGACCAAAACTTTTTCATCTGGCCTCATCAGCGGTTGTTTGAGCACTCTTTTATTACAGCCACTCGAAGTTTCAAAAACGCAGCTCCAGGTTAACAAATCATTGAAACTGTGGAATGTCAGTCAGCATATTGTATGCAAGTTTGGATTGCCAGGTATTGACTCTATATTTTGAAAGAGCATCCCTGAATTAATGGGTGCTATGGGAAATTTTGGCAAAAGCAAAAATTTAATCTAAACATCACTTCATCTGCGGAACGATATGCAACCTGAAATTTTTTCAAATTGCCTTATATTTACTAAAATTCCCGGAGCGCTTTTTCCCGGAATATTCGTTTATTTGAGTTAATTGTTCTTTTAGTTTCATACTTAAGTGTCTCTGATATTAATGATGTGTTATTGCTATGTTTGCTTAATTTTGTTTTCGGCAGGAATATGTTGGTGTTCAGAATCTGAACTGATGACTCATCGATTCTACTTAACAATCCCCCTTCAAGAAATGGGAGGGGGATTTTTAAATGGTTATTGTGGATTTACTGATTTTGGTTCCGAACTTCCTATTGAATTGGAGAGATCGATTTTTTTTGAGAGATGGAGAAAAAGAGGAGTTAGGGATTTTAGTATTGGTAGTCTAGTATAATCTATCACTGCAGTTCCTTCAGGGTCTCTAGCGTCAAAACCGACGTAGAAGGGGAACCAACTTTTCCTGTGATGGCGTCTTTGTGCTGGTGTCGACGTCTCCTCTGTGTGAGACACTCAAGGGGGAGGTTTGGTTGTCGTTATTGATGCCCGTTCTAGGGAGCAAGTTTTTCAACGTGCGGAGAACCGAGTGATAATCCTGGTTGTCTTAATGATGCCCGTTCTAGGGGGCAAGTTTTTCAACGTGCGGAGAACCGAGTGATAATCCATGCCCGGTTCAAGCGGGCAGATTTTAGTGTGTGGGAGAGAACCGAGAAAAACTCCCGTTACGTGGGGTTATGTGATAAGCTGCAGATATTTTGCAGCTTCTTCGGAGTTCTCCCATTGGCTGTCGATGGTAAGTGCGGTCGGGTGTACCCGGCAATTAAACAGATGGCCAGTGGTGTGTAGTCCTATATATTTGGATATGGAGATTTGATTTCTCATTAAGGAAACTTTGTAGTTCATTGGTATGGAGATTTTTGATCCCGCAAACATATTCCTCCAGCTTGAAGATACTCTCCTGGTTGTTCGTAACCCAGTGTTAGAGGGTGGAACTGATTTTCCGGTTGTACACTTTATAGTTTAGAGTATGGTGATCTGATGTGTGCTGTTGTTAACATCCAAGCAAAAACTGTTTAGAGAGCGTTTCTTTGTTTTCTGACGGAAAGTATTTTGTTTCATCGTGTAAATGCGTGATATCGCTCATTTTAACGCAGCCATGGTTTTTCTAAGTATATGGTTGCAGAAGTTCCAGTTAGTGTAGCTCAGTGTGGGGGTCAAAATGGGTGATGCACTGTTCAGTACACTTCTACCAGTTGCCTTGTAATTGATGCCTTGTAAGTGATCAATGGGTAATGCATTGTTCAGTACACTCCTCCCAGTTGCTTTGTAAGTAACAAGGAGTGTTTCTTTCGAGCAACCACAAGAAGTGCCGGCAAGTTTTTTCAGAGGGTTATTTCTTTTTTGAATTTTCTCAGACTTTAGTACAGTGTTCTCTTATGTTAAATTGGTTGTCGAATGTAACGCCTAGAAATTTTGAGTTTCCAAAGGATGTCGACCTTCATTTTTGTTTCTAGGTTGAACTCATTTGTCCAATGGAAAAGATAGATAATGTAGATTCATCTTTTGAGATTACTTTATAGTTTACAGTATGGTTATCTGTTCTGTGCTCTTGCTAAGATCCAAGCAAAATTGTTTGGAAAGCGTTTCATTATATTTTCTGACGGGAAGTATTTTTGTTTCATCGTGTAAATGCGTGCTGTCGCTCATTTTAACGCAGCCATGGTTTTTTTTAGTATATTGTTGTGCTAAAGTTGCAGACAAATCAGTTAGTGTAGCTCAGTGTGGGGGTTAAAATGGGTGATGCATTGTTCAGTACACTTCTACCAGTTGCCTTGTAAGTGATCAATGGGTGATGCATTGTTCAGTACACTCCTCCCAGTTGCTTTGTAAGTAATAAGGAGTGTTTCTTTCGAGCAACCACAAGTAGTGCCGGCAAGTTTTTTCAGAAGGTTATTTCTTTTTTGATTTTTTTCAGACTTTAGTACAGTTTTCGTTTGTTAAATTGGTTGTCGAGTGTAACGCCTAGAAATTTTGAGTTCCAAAGGCTGTCGACCTTCATTTTGTTTCTAGGTTGAACTCATTTGTCCAATGGAAAAGATAGATAATGTAGATTCATCTTTTGAGATTACTTTATAGTTACAGTATGGTTCTGTTCTGTGCTCTTGCTAACATCCAAGCAAAATTGTTTGGAAAGCGTTTCATTGTTTTTTGACGGGAAGTATTTTTGTTTCATCGTGTAAATGCGTGATGTCGCTCATTTTAACGCAGCCATGGTTTTTCTTAGTATATTGTTTGGGTTAAGTTGCAGACGTTCTAGTTAGTTTTGCTCAGTGTGGGGGGTCAAAATGGGTGATGCATTGTTCAGTCCTTGACTTTTGTTTCTAGGTTGAACTCATTTGTCCAATTGAAAAGATAGTTGTAGATTCATCTTTTGAGATTACTTTATAGTTTACGGTATGGTTATCTGTTCTGTGCTCTCACTAACATCCAAGCAGAATTGTTTGGAGAGCGTTTCATAATGTTTTCTGACTGGAAGTATTTTTCTTTCGTCGTGTAAATGCGTGATGTTGCTTATTTTTACGCAGCCAGTGATTATTCTTAGTATATTGTTTTGCTTAACTTAGACGTTCCCAGTTAGTGTAGCTCAGTGTGGGGTCCAAATTGGTGTTGTTTTGTTCAGTACACTCCTCCCAATTGACTTGTAAGTAATATTGAGTGTTTCTTTGGAGCAACTCCAAGTAGTGCTGGTAAATTTTTTCAGAAGGTTTTTTTTGAAGTTTTTCAGACCTTATTACTGTTCGTTAAAGTTAAATTAGTTTGAGTTTCCAAAGGCCGTCGACCTTGACTCTTGTTTCTAGTTTGAACCCATCTGTCCAAGTTGAAAAGATAGATAATGTAGATTTATCTTTTGAGATAACTTTTTAGTTTACAGTATGGTGAGCTGATCTGTGCTCTTGTCAACATCCAAGCAAAACTGTTTTTAGAGCATTTTTTTATGTTGTCTGACGGGAAGTGTTTTTGTTTGTCGTGTAAATGCGTGATTTCGCTCATTTTTACGCAGCCAGTGATTGTTCTTAGTGCCTCGTTTTGCTTAACTTGCAGACCTTCCCAGTTAGTGTAGCTCAGTGTGGGGGTCCAAATAGGTGATGCATTGTTCAGTACAGCTTAGAGATTTGATAAACTTTCTGTTTTTGTTTTATAACATGTTTTAAACAAAAATTATTGACCATATGTTATTACAGATGTTTTCTTTCATTCTGGAAAACTGCATATGCTCAGGTGCATTAATTGTACTTATTTATAATAGAAAACTTCGAAAAAATTATGCGTGTACATCACAAGATTTCTTAAAGTTTTGGCCGACAAGAATTGTCATGAGCTTCGTTCTAATTGAAGTTAACGTAGAACTCTAAAGAAACAGGAATAGTTTTTAATGTGCAAATCGCACTGAGTGCCATAATTGAAATAAATTAATATTTTCGTAAATTAGACAGTAGTTCTTTTTTCAGTCTACTTTCCGTGTAAAATAGTCTTAAGCAAAATGCTGTTGACTAATTTTTGCAACAGTGATTTTCAAATTCCTCTCGAAAATAGGACATAAATGTCTTCGATACGATACAACAGCGTGCAAACTCCGTACAGTTTCTTCTTGAATTTAAAAATGGGCGAAAAACTATTCTACATCCAGTGGCGTGTGCAGAAATTTTTCTAGGGGACTGTTTTTGAAAAACTTTGAAAGGTGCGTCGACCTTGTTTTCGGTCGAACAATTTAATTTCAGAGCCTTCTGAAAATAATTTAAAAAACCTATTTGGTTGAAAAATTCTTTGAGGTTTTTGAGCACTGCTTGAAAAATTTGACCAAAAATTGCGTTTTATCAGCGAGCGTCAAAACTACTGTCTCAATTCGTTGGATTAGTTTTTGGATAGTTTGTTTTTTAAAATACAACGGTGTTTCCTTGACCCTTTTGTTCAGTTACGTTTTCTTAAATTTTGCCGAACTATGGTAAAAAATTCCGGAAGATATTCGATGCGTGCAGTGTATAGAAATTTTCAAGCGCAAAATATAGACCTTTTTTGTAAATAGCTTTAACCCTTAGTACTATTTGCAGCACTTTGTTTAAAAATGTAATTTTATTTTATTCTTAGAAAGCGTTTGCGCTTGACTTCTCCTTTGATTAGATTTTGATAATTCTCAGTAGAAAAAGTTTTTTTTTTGAGTATAGATTTTTTACTCCTTCTGTTGCAAACTGATTAGCTTTCTGGTTTTGTTTTATAGCATAGTTTTTCAAAACAAAATTGATTTTTTCGTATTACAGATATTTTGTTTCATTTTAAAAAAGATTTTGTTGGCTGACACATTAATTTTGTTACTTACCGTGAGAGAACTTTGAAAAAGCTTTTTGTGTACATCTCATGAACTATTGTTTTGTTCTATATGAATTGTTCTGCGCTTCTTTCACATTTAAAAACAATTTTAAAAACTTTAAATAGCATGTTGCTCCTGTTGCGTTTTTCGAAGAAACAGTGAATGGCTACACTGAATAAGTGGAAGAACAATCTGTATCCGTAAATTTTTTCTGCTGCTGTTTGGAACAAAGTTCCACAATATATCCAAATAGTGCACTCTCTAGAAGTTCTCTAGACCAATCTGAAAATCCAATAGAAGTTTAATTATAGCTTATTCTTGCTTAGAAAGAGAATATGCATTCCCTGCGAGCTCTGAATTTGGTACTGTTTACATATATATTTTTTTCAATTTCGAAATTTGATCCTTGTTACGTTTCATTGAATTTCAGAAGAAATTTTTTTTTCTCTGCGAGTTTGGACTAGTTTACTCGTTTTGTTGCAGTTTGATTAGCATTCTAATTTTAGTTTGTAGCTTGCTTTCAAAACATTATTTTGACTTTCTCGTATTACAGATGTTTTTTTCCGAAAAACTTTATATGCTTATGTGCACTATTTGTTTTTATTTATGTTAAGTAAACTGTGAAGAACTGTGTACATCTCACGAACTATTAAACTAAGGTTTTGATTTTTTTTCGATTCAAAATTAGGACAAATATGTCTTCAATACGCTACAACAGTGTTTAAGCTTCGTACAGACTGCTTGATGTAGTTCAAAATGGGAGAAAAACTATTCTACGCCATAAAGCATTACCGTCACTTCATGGCATGCTTGGAACAGTCAATCACATTGAATAATTTGGTAACATTGTAGAGGTCGTTTTTAATTGAAACCTTGATTAGGTCAAATCTTCTGATGTGAGAGATCTTTTCGCAATACTTAACCGATTTACCTTTAACATTTTCTTGCAAAATGAAAGCTTGCAGTCAGCAAATACACCAAATATTTCACTTTTTCTTAATTGTACACGAACACTGTTTTTGTTATTACCCTTGCGATAAGCAAGGGTATTGCAACTGGTTACATTTTTTTCATGAATATTTTGTTCATAGAATGTTCAAAATTAGAAATGGTAGGTAAATGGTAATTTTAAGTTCAGTCATAATGTTCATCTTCTTAGCGTTCTCGGCTCACTTAAACTGCAGGCAACGAATACACCTACGTTTGCAAAGGTCGTTTGCTGGATATATTCCGTTTTAAAAAAGTTTTTGCTGTTAATTTGTCTGCTTGTTTTATCGGCTTATTTGCCATAGCTCAAATTTTCTTGATGTTCACAATGAATGTTGTAGCTGCTTAATTTTCTGAGTTGTTTCTGCTCTTTTTAAATTTACTAGCCATGACTTCGTATATTCTATTTTTTGTTGTTGTTTTTTGCTTTAAACCTTTTTTCTGCCCTAAATGAGTTTGGCTCATGTTTATTCGGCTTAGTGACCTAGTTTTGAGTCATTTTAAGGGAAACATGGTTTTGTTGTCTACATCTGGATCGCACAAAGCGCTAATTTTTCAATAGAAACTATAGTTCAAGTTTGTCTTGCCAACAATTTTTTTCAGCTTTTTGTCCATTGTTTTGGCTTGATAGGGTTCGGCCTTAGTTTTATCAGCTTTATGTCGGAATGTGCGTGTCTGTGTTTTGAGGGCAAGGGGGACTTTTATAAGTCTAAAGTTTTATTGATTTGTTTTCGGCTTAAAGGATCTCTGCTGAGATATTTTCGGCTTTTTAACCGCTTGATAAGTATTATTTCAATACTAATTTCCCATTCTATTGTCTGTGCATCTTTATATTTCAAAACTAGCCTTATTTGTTTTGATCGATCTAGTTATACTGATTTTTTCCGACTTTGCGGCTTTCTTGATGTGTATCGCAAGTGGTGCGAAGCTCAGCTTCCCCTGTGTTTAAATTTTTTTTTAATTTCCATTTAGCAGTTTTATCAGATTTTGGGGTTGCTACTTGCAATTTAAACAAGAGCGGATTCAGATTTTTCGAGGCGTTTTGTTTTAAAAAAGTCCAAAATTGTAGGCTTCCCATCAAAACTAGTGTTCATTGATACCTTCAGAAAAGTTTAAAGTTCGGTTGGACGAAAAGGTTTCAAATGGTAAAATCAGGGGCGGATTTAGGGGGGGCGGGGGCAGACGTCCCCCCCCCCCCCCCTCAGGGATTCGACTCCCTGCCGACCCAAAAGGTCCCCCTTTTGGTACTTCTTAAGAAATCCATTTTTGGCTGACCGGTCCTGAGTTTTTTTTCTAAAGGCGCCTTTGGCGCCAATATATACTAACTTTGAGGGGCAGAGCCCGCCCCCCAAAAAAAAAGTGTTTTTTTTTGTCAAAATTTTCCAGTGCCCAAGAACGGCTTTTTTGACCTGTTTTTTCAAAACTTTACCTGAGGCGCAGAAATTTTGGTCAAAACAGCGTCGTTTTATTGCTCTAGGAGAGTTTGTAAAATCAATTTGTTCGACCTAAAAAAAAAGGTCGCCAAAATTTTCGACAATTTTTTGGAAATCCGCACCCTCCCCCCTTGAGAAAATCCTAGATCCGCCCCTGGGTAAAATAGTTACAAATATGGAATTATAGGGCGATAAAAGTGACAAATCTGCTTCCTGTTTTGAAAATTATAGTATAAATATTTTAAGGATTTTGGCGCGGAACCACAGTTTCACTCTACCGGAACATGGGAGGCATGTCCGTATTTTACCCTTCGCTTTACTTCATTCAGTCTTCCGTCTACGGAAACGACAAGCCATCGCCTCTGGGCTCTTTTCTCGTAGGTGGATTAGTCCGGTCAGTTAATTGTGTCATTTTTTGTCCACTCAACGTAGTAAAAACGAGAGTGGAAAGTGGCACTACAAATTTTGGAATTATGCGGACCTTGATGGCAATTTATCATCAAGAAGGTGTTGTTAAGTTATTCAGTGGACTCTTGCCGACTATTGCGCGAGACCTGCCGCATGCTGGTCTGAACATTATGTTCTACTGGGAATTCAAATCAAGAATGCCAGGCGATAATGTTTTAGCTGACTCCTCAATCGCAGCTTTTGTGGCCTCGTTTCTCAGTTGCCTTGTCACTCATCCGTCTGATGTTGTGAAAACAAATATGCAGAATAAACCTGATAGGTATCCGAATATTAAAGCGACGTGCAGTAGTTTGTGGAGGAAAAGAAGATTCTACGGGTTCTATCTGGGCTTTGTACCGAGAACGGGTAGAAAAGTGCTGCTCTCAATCATAAATTGGGTTGTGTTGGAATTTATAGTCACTGTTTTTTGATTATCTGTTAAAAGGATTGGGGTAATTAGAAGACTGAAATTGAAATCGGAAGTAGTTCGATGACATAATTGGAAATAAAAATGTTTTTGATTCCGATAGTTACTAGAATTTTATGTATAAAAATAAAGGTTTCTACCGCCGCTTTGTTGACCGGAGCAATAACTACTTGAGATTACTTACATGTTACCCTCGGGTCCTTATGTCCCTGTTTGTTTATTATAACTTCATTTTAACAAGAAATCGATATTAGAATCAGTCTTCTAATTGAACTATCTCGACCTGAGTTGAAATTGAAATTGTTTTTATGAGCTATTTTGAACGTAGTTATAATTTCGTATACGAGTCTAATTTTAGCCTTGACTTTGATAATCAATTTTGTGTACCTTTGTTTCTTTTGACCTCCGGGACAAGTTTACAAGTTGTGGTATGTTATCGAACCCAAGGCTTGTAGTCATCCGTGATCTATTTGGTCTTTATTTAAAAACATACGTCGAAATTAGATTGGGCAATAATGACTGACGCCTTTGGCAATCAAAGTTTATGAAATGAAATTAATGAAAGGAAAAGGATACGAGCAATAATCGCCCCATGAGATCACGTTGGCTTAGATCATCAATTGTATGGCACCATACATGTGCTTTTAGTTTCAGTGGAATATTCTGTGATTTTGATTTGACCGATGTGTTTAATTTCAGATTTGCTTGTCCTTGTTTGCGTTTAACTGCTGGTCAGGGACGACGCATACTCGCTTGAATTGAATTGCATTCTGACCTGCTTGATTTTGAGTTGTATAATCACAGAAACCCAATTCTGGTCTCATATCAATAGAGACAAACGCTAGTTGGCGCAAACTACTTAACGAATTTCATTTGCAATAGCGGTCTTGAATTTATTGTGTTTGAAGTGAGTCGACCTTGGGTGACCCTGAGCTAATCTTATCTCATCTGACTGTAAATCACATTAAACTGCCACCAAGGTTCACTTAAATGAAATAAGCGTGAAATGAGTCCATCCAGCTCCAACGCTTCCGCAGTGGAGAAGACCTTCGGGTCGTTTCTCGAGTATGTCTCGTGGGAAAAGGAACTCTTCTACAGCAACACTTTCCCTCTAAGTGAGAAGTACCCGATGATAGGGGTTGATTCAATCATAGCGGCTGAAGTGATCTATGCTATCTTGCTGTGGTGGGGATTGTCGAGGATGAGGGCAGACAAGAAGCCCCTCATCACTGACGGAAGAATGGCTTTGAGAGTCTATAATGCAAGCCAAGTGGTCCTGTCATTCTACATCTCATACTTAGCTACTGGAACTTATTTCAAGAAACTTCTCAAATCTGGTAAGAAGGATGGTAGGACGTTATTATCACCCGTGCGATTAGCAAGGGTATTGCAACCAGGTGTTAGATTTGCCCCTGAGCAACCCAGCAAAATACAACTTTCGTCAGTTTACTTCATAAACAAATCCACTTCTTGTGCCTCATAGTGAGCGTTTGGTGCAGAAATGTCGCTCATGCTTGGGACGTCGTAGGTCGGACGTCGAGGCCAGACAGAAGATGTGCTTTTTGCAAATTGGAGTTGTTTTTTTTTGGAAAATTTAAGTGACTGACTATCCTTTTCTGTACGCTTAATTTTTGTCTGATTATTTTCCACAGCGTGAACTTTTCTTGTGCTGTAAGCTTTTTTTTGCTTAAAGTTTAATTCGGTTTAAATGGTTTCGGTTTTTGTTACATTGTTTTTTTTTGCTTCATATTGTGTCGTTTGAAAGCAAAAATATTATATTGTTTCTGCTCCTCGGGGTCAGGGCACTTTTTTTTGGCTTTTTTGGATCGAGATTGCGTTTATCACTGTTCCCCCATACTCAACCTTTTCCAACGTTGTTCCAAATTTGTTTCAAAAAGACTATCGAATCAAAAATTCAGTTACATTTTATTGATTCTTGTTTTCTGAGAAAGTTTTGCGGTTGAAAGCAGTGTCGTATATCGACATGGTTAATACGATTTTTAGGTTTTTGTTCCGACTTTCGTAATGAAAGTAACGGAATATTCGTGCTCGGAGTGGTTTTTTTCTTGGGGCAACTTTCGACGTTTTAACTAGTTTTGATGGAATTATATCATATCATTCAAAAGGTACTGTTGTCATGATCTTAAATTTGAAAAGATATTTCACTTGTGATCATTTTTCGTAAAGTTATGTGGGTTTAAAGATTGCCTTTTGGCCAATTTGGTACAATTAACGTGCGAAATATTTCGCGCTATTAACGCGTAAGTGGAGATTTAATCCGTCTTAGAAATCGTTCCAAATTGGTTGAAGGAAGCTTATTTGCCATAATTGATTTGTTACTAGGAGCGAAATGTATCACTTTGTACTTTATATGGCGTGTGGGGTGATGATTTTTGCAGAAAAAAAACTATTTGATTTTTAACATTTAATTTTTACTGTTGTTACTGTTCCATAGACCTTAAGAGGTAGTCGTAACATTCAGGGCCTCGCACTGATACGAGCAGTCTTGTTATCTGTTGTACGCAATTTATTGTGTAATTGCTCTAAGTGTTTTGATTTACTGATATTGATTGTAATTTTACTAGCCTTATCGGTGATTATTTTTAAGAGTAATGAACGCAGTGAAGACTCTTATATAGGTCTTGCTGATTTGTTTTTTTTCAGGAAAAAGTCTTAAAATGTGCCTAAAAGTCTCTAATAACCACAGATGGGCATTTATACATATTGATGCATTTATGGATGCACTTAGGTATATATGCCTTTTTTGAGTTCACTTGAAATTAATCAGCTGAAAGTTACATAAAATGCAATGTGCAAAGTTACATAAAATGCGAACTTGGAAATGGCGCGAAAAAACGTGAACGATTTCTAGTTTCGAAAGTGTAATTTTATTTTCAGATTGCCAGCGGAATAAAAACTTTACCTGTTGACTCAGTTTTCTCAAGTTGGGTTAATGTTATCAAAAAGCGCCAATCATAAATCGTTCTAGAAATTTAAAGAGGTTAAAATGCAGCAATTTTTTTTGAATTTCGAAAGATTTTTAAAATTAAAGTCAGTGTTTTTTTTTAACTTTCGTTCATTACTCTTTTCCAATCTTCGATAAGCTTTTTTGCCCAATTGATTTCGGTCTATATCTTATAGGCTTAGTGGCATTATATTGCGTCGACCGATGAACTTTTTCGTGTGTGGGTATTTTGATGGGGAGAGGGACTCGAAGATGTTAACTAGTTTTTATATCTCTTTTATTTTTTTTTCGGCTGGAATGGTTTCTGCTCATGTACTTTCGGCTTTGTTTACCGCTTGGTAAAAATTTTTCTGATGCTACTTTCACATTTTTTTCTGGATTTTTCCCCAATTGTAAGGCTAGTAGTGCATAGGCTCCGCTTCGCAGCTGTGTTTAATTTGTTGCGATAGAGCGTTTTTTTTTCAAAATTGATGTCTTAGAATTTTTTGAGTAGGTTTAGGAAGCAGCTCTTCCTTTTTACGCTAGCCAGCAGCTAGTATATTATTATTACTTAACCCGCAAATAAAAGTGTTCGTTAAAAATGTTCACTTGTGTGTGACTTTTTGCTATAATCACGATCTGTAGCATTGAACATTTCATAGCATCTGTTCTCGGCTTTATTTGTGGCTTGTGTCGGTGATGGACTAATCGTCTGTGGCTGAGTGGTTAGTGTGTGAGACTCAAATTTCTAGGTCGTAGTTTCGAGTCCGATACGTCGCCGAATTTTCACTAATCCGAGGTTGATTTTTACTTTTTGTTATTGCTCTTGCTTTTTGGCCGTGTTCTGGCTAGTGTTTGCGAAGAGCAGCTTCACCTCTGTGTAGAAGTCTTGCTTTTAATTATGAAACATGAAGTTGTGTGCTATTGGTCTTTGTTAAGTTCTGACTTTTGAAGAATAAAAACGAAGATCTGAAACTCATTCGTTATGGAGGTATGACCATATTAGATAAGATTTTACAATTTCCCGAAAAACCTGGGAAAAATTTGTTGTTGCTCCTGTTTCAGATTAAATTGTTGCGTAAAAGCCAGTGGTACAGTGCTCTCAAATTTTTGGTTTGTTTTGCGCGTAATTTTTTGAAATTCCTTATTGCTTCGTTTTCAGACTCCAATCAATTTTGCATGTTGAAGGAGTCTAAATATTGTTGAAAAAAGTTACGTTAATTTTCTATCATTAGTTGACTATTGTGGAATAAAGTTGAGTTTCTAGAGTATTGTGAAGGCTAATTACGCTTGCGATTAGCCAGCGTTATCAAACTGGAATATAGAGTTTTTTCGGTTGACAACTTGTTTTACAGAATCGCATATATCTTGGTTCATGATGAATTCAAACTTCTATGCGTTCCCGGCATACTTACCCTGGAGGTAACGAATATGCCTGGGACAGCAAAGTTCATGGTTTAAAAAGCTGACCAGGACCCGTTTTTTTAAAACAGAAAACAATCTCTTCAAATAAAATTGTCGGCCAATTATTTGTCTGCTTATCTGTTGTCGGCTCAGTTGTCACCTCTTGAAATCGTTTTTTTTATTTACGCGAATTTTTCGTGAATAAAAAGAAATCACTTTTGTTGCTTTTTGTGTTTAATTTACTCATTTAGTTTGTTATTTTACTTACCTTGTCTTCGTATTTCCATCTTCGGTTTTTCTGTTTCGGTTAAAAAAAATTCATCGGCCCAAATTATTTCGGCCCATTTTTTATTGGCTTAATGACCTAAATTTAGGTCGTTTCAAGGGACACACAACTTGAACATTCCCCTCCGCACTTTTCATGTTGGTTGTATGTTTACCCATCGGTTTTTTGAAATTTCTTTTTCATTTATGGAAAAATTTTTCAAATTCTTTGGAACAATGTTGCTTTTTCTCTAAAACTCCTACTCATTTTCAAAATGGGGTATCAATTGAAAGATCGTCTTCTCTTCTGGGTGCCTGTATACTCCTATAGAGTCTTTTTTTTACGTGAACACTCAGTCTACAGCCGTCGAAAAAGTCTCTGTGGGAGTATATTTGACCCATATTTTTGATATTTTTTCTCGTTTTTCGGAAACCATCCCCTTTCAAATTTGAGTTTTTAGTTTCCATGTATAGAACGGTTTCAATAAACTGCCGGCATGAGCGGCTACGCGCAAGTTTTTTTTTGCATTAACATTTTGAATTTTCTCGCAAACTACCCTGCTATATTTGAGATTTTGAGTTCAATTCAAAGAATGGGCTGTGGGAAGCTCATTTGCTTTAGCGTCCACTCTCAAACTTTAATGACACCAGAAGTTATGGCCCTCAATCTGAGATTTTGCGCTAAATCGAAATTCCAGGTTGAGTGAATCCCTTCCTAATAAGCAGCTACGCCCTTTTTTCAAACAAAAAGCTATGATTCTCGGAAATGTCATTTTTTGTATTAAAGGACAGTTTTTTGGGTTTTTTCGCTAACTATCTTGCCAAGTCCGATATCATAGGTTTAATCGGCACAACACGTTGTTAAAAGCTTGCTTTTATAATTTGCTACGCCCAGTTTTTTTCACAATAAACTTTTTCGACAATTACTGTGCCAATTGTCAGGTTAAGTTTCCGAACGACAAAACCGGTTTTAGGAATCTTCTCTGCTTAAGCGGCCACAACCTTTTCCCTGCAGGAAAAATTCATGAATTTTGAAAATGATTTTGACCGTTTTTTAAAAACTTTTTGTTTTTTCTCAAAATTTAAACAATCAAATCTAAGATTAAAATTTCAATTGAAAGAACCGGCGGTTGCGACAATGTTTCCTGCAGAAAAATGTTATCTCTTTGGAAAAATTTATTGTCTCAAAATTTTTAACTCTTATTTTTAGTAGAGGAACAAAGGTTTTTGGCAAAGTCCAATTTTTGAATTCACTTTTTTCGTGCAGCATTTTTACAGCAAATTCATTCAATTACTAACACATACCTCAGCTTCAGCTGGGCTTCTAGTTGATTTTTAGCTAGACATACGAAAGTTTTGGTTCACTTAGTTTTTTTTACATCTAATTTTTTTTCGACGAATGTTTTTTCAATGTTGATCTTGTGTGTTTGTCTGTGTAAACCTCTGAGTTCAAACAGTTGGGATGGCGATGTGGATTGTTTTATCAAAACATATCGGATTTCCAACGAGAGAAGACAATATTTCAAGTTTGTTTGTTCGGCTTGCTGGTTCTCGAAATAGATTGTTTCACGGTTAGTCATATGGTCACTAGTTATAGCGTTGTGAATAATATGGTTTCTTGCTTTTATTGAATATACCGTTGTGAATAATTTGATTTTTTTATAGCGTTGTGATTAATTTGGGTTTTGTCTAGCTTTTATTCAATATACTTGGTATTTTTGGTTGAGCTTTAGAGGCTTTCTGGTCTGATAAAGTTTCGATTTCATTGTAAAATGGAAAAACTTAAAAAAGTTAATGTTAAGTTTTACTTCATAAAGATTGTTTCTCTGTTTTGCAAGCTTTCGGACACTCCACTTCAGCTGTATTCGTCAGCTAAAAAACGCACAAAATTTCGAAAAACTACATCCAGGCAAAATTACACATCCTTTCAGTACTTCAGTCAACCGAATTGTTCTTTCAAATAAAAAGTTGCATCCTAATTTTTTATAAAGATTTCTCATTTAATTGAGTTGAATTTTTTCAAGATAATTTTATTGGATGTTACAGCAGTAAAAAAAACAGATTTTTATGTAGGTTGTTTATTTCAAAAGAGTCAAACGCTCATATTTTTTGTATCTTGAAACTCCAAAATTGGCGAGCCTTTTCGTCTCTTTTCCTGATAATGTTAAAGAGTAGCCGAACACTTATACAATTGTCGCTGGAGCAGGAACAATTTTAAGTCAACTAACATAGTGAAATCACTTATACCACGTAGAAGTCGTGTAGTGAAGTTTTCAGGATTGTTTTTGTATTTCACGGCAAATCTGATATTTTGACATTTGCTTTCTTACTTTCAATTCAATTGTTTAAAGGAAAGCAAGGTACGCTTTCCAATAATGAAAGCAGAAATGGCGCAAAAAATATTTGTTTTCCAGCAGAATAAATTTTTATTCGACTCACGTTTTTTATGTTCGTGTTGTATGTTTGTCTGTATAATTGTTTGAGTTCAAACGGTTGGGATGGCCTGGATAGTTTTATCAAAACTTATCAGGTTTCCAACGGGAGAAGGCAATGTTTCAAGTTTGTTTGTTCGGCTTGCTGGTTCTCCTTGAAAAAGCTTGTTTCACGGTTATTCACTTGGTCCCTATTTTTGAATAATCCGAGACAGGGCCAAATCGGTTGAGAGTTGATAAATATCAAAAATTACTTGTTAATTATTTTTTTTTCCAATTTCTTCTCATTTAATTTTAATTCGTTCATGAATCCTGGTCCTTGTTTATGCCATATTCTTTTTTTTGTTTCATTCAATCATTCGTTTTGTACTTTCTGTTGATTTTTTTGTCTTTTTTTACGAGAAAGCACGGGCATTATAATTATTCAGTGGTGTTAATCGTTCAAATATTTTTATAGCGTTGTGAATAATTTGCTTTTTGTCTTGCTTTCGTTCAACATACTTGGTATTTTTGGTTGAGCGTTAGAGGCTTTCTGGTCCGATAAGGTTTCGATTTCATTGTAAAATGCGTAAACTTAAAAAAGTTGATGTTAAGTTTTACTTTATACAGATTGTTTCTCTGTTTCGCAAGCTTTCGGACGCTCCACTTCAGCTGTATTCGTCAACTAAAAAACGCACCAAATTTAAAAAAAAACTACCAACAGGCAAAATTTCAAATCCTTTTAGTACTTGTCAACGGAGTTGTTCTTTCAAATAAAAATGTTTCATCCTAATTTTATAGATTTCTCATTATTTTGAATTGAAGTTTTTAATAGATGACTTTAATAGATGTTACAGCGATACAAAAACTGATTTGCTCGTAGAGTGTTTGTTTCAAAAGAGTCAAACGATCATATTTCTTGTATCTTGTATCTCTTAAAATTGGCTAGCGGTTTCGTCTCATTTCCTGATAATATTAAAGAGTAGCTGAATACTTACAATTGTCGCTTGACCAACGACAATTTTCAGTCTTTGAACGTAGTGAAGTCAATTATATAGGTCCTGTTGATTTTTTCAGGATTGTTTTTTTCACGGCAAATCTTGATGTTTTGCCGTTGATCTTCGATTTTTTACTTTCAATTCATTTGCTTAAAGGAAAGCTAGGTACGCTCTCCAAGTATGAAAACAGAAATGGCGCAAAAAATAATTATTTTGATGCAGAATTATTTTAGTTTGACTTATGTTTTTTCAATGTTGGAGTTGTTTCTTTGTCTGTGTAAATGTTGGAGTTCAAACGGTTGGGATGACGTGAATAATTGTATCAAAAATTATTGGTTTTCCAGCGAGTGAAGGCAATGTTTCAAGTTTGTTTCTTCGGCTTGCTGGTTCTCCTTGAAAAAGCTTGTTTCACGGTTATTCATTTGGTCCCTAGTTTTGAATAATCCGAGACATGGCCAAATCGGTTGAGAGTTGATAAAATATCAAAAACTACTGAGTCCAATTATTTTTTTTCCAATTTCTTCTCATTTAATTTCACTCGTTCATGAATCCTGGTCCTTGTTTATGCCACATTATTTTTTGTTTCATTCAATCATTCGTTTTGTTCTTTCTGTTGATTTTTTGCCTTTTTTTTTACGAGAAAGCATGTGCATTATAATTATTCAGTGGCGTTAACCGTTTAAATAATTTTATAGCGTTGTGATTATTTTGGTTTTTGTCTTGCTTTCGTTCAATATAGTTGGTATTTTTGGTTAAGCGTTAGAGGCTTTCTGGTCTGATTAGGTGCCGATTTCTTTGTAAAATGGAAAACTCAAAAAAGTTAATGTTAAGTTTTATTTTATACAGATTGTTTCTCTGTTTTGCAAGCTTTCGGACACTCCACTTCAGCTGTATTCGTCAGCTAAAAAACGCACAACATTTCGAAAAACTACATCTAAGCAAAATTATACATCCTTTCAGTACTTCAGTCAACCGAATTGTTCTTTCAAATAAAAATTTTCATCCTAATTTTTTATAAAGATTTCTGATTTAGTTTAATTGAATTTTACCTAGATCATTTAATTGGATGTTACAGCAGTAAAAAACTGATTTTTCTGTAGGTTGTTTATTTCAAAAGAGTCAAACGCTCATATTTTTTGTATCTTGAAACTCTAAAATTGGCGAGCCTATTCGTCTCTTTTCCTGATAATATTAAAGAGTAGCCGAACACTTATACAATTGTCGCTGGAGCAGGAACAATTTTAAGTCAACTAACATAGTGAAATCACTTATACCACGTAGAAGTCGTGTAGTGAAGTTTTCAGGATTGTTTTTGTATTTCTTCACGGCAAATTTGATATTTTGACATTCGCTTTCTTACTTTCAATTCAATTGTTTAAAGGAAAGCAAGGTACGCTTTCCAATAATGAAAGCAGAAATGGCGCAAAAATTTTTTTGTTTTCCAGCAGAATAACTTTTTATTCGACCCATGTTTTTTTTATGTTGTATGTTTCTCTGTATAATTGTTTGAGTTCAAAAGGTTGGGATGGCGTGGATAGTTTTATCAAAACTTATCAGATTTCCAACGAGAGAAGCTTGTTTCACGGTTAGTCATATAATCCCAGGTTTTGAATAATCCGAGACAGGGCCAAATCGATTGAGAGTTGATAAATATCAAAAACTACTGAGTCCAATGAATTTTTTTTCCAATTTCTTATTTAATTTTACTCGTTCATAACCTTCAATTCATTTGCTTAAAATAAAGCATGGTACGCTTTCCAATTATGTTAATCATAAATTGTTTATCTGAATTTGAAAGAGCTTCAAACTCATGTAATTTTTGTATTTGAAGTTCAAAAGTTGACGTTTTTTTCCGAAAAAAAATTAATGTTTTTTTTTGGTTTCCTTGCGTTCATTGACACTTTTTAAGGTGATCAGTTAGAATGTGTCTGTTGTTGATTTTTATTTCTCTTGCTGATAACAATTGTGATGTGTGTTTTTGCTTGATGCACAGTTCAAATCCTTTATTAGCAGGTTTTTTCATTATGAAAATATTTTGACGTTTTTGGTTTTTGTTGACAGAGTACAACTGGGGCTCTGTGTTTCTGAATTGATTGCTTTCGTTGTAGGAATCGTGTGTCAGCCGATGAAGGTACAAATTGAGCAGGATCCTGACTCGTACGAGTGGGAGACGTACACGTGCTGGCTGTTCTACATGAGCAAGTGGCTCGACTACATGGACACCTTCTTCATCATAGCGAGGTCCAAGTGGAGGCAGCTCTCCTTCCTCCACTGCTTCCACCATTCCAGCATGATTGCACTCACCTGGATCGCCACCAGGTAACACACTTCCTCAAGACCACATACAAACAACAACCTCACACCAAGACGGACAATCACGACAAGCGGAACAACGAAGAGCCTAATTCTTTTTTAACAACCCTGAATTACTTCCAAGCTTTGACTTCCATACTGTTGATCAAGAGTTGATTAAGATATTAATGCTTTTTTTGAAAGAATAATGAACGTAGCGAAGACACTTATATAGGTCTTGCTGATTTTTCAGGAAAAGTCTTAAAATGTGCATAAAAGTCTCTAATAACTACAGATGTGCCTTCATACATATTGATGCATTTATGGATGCACTTAGGTATTTATGCGCTTTTTGAGGTCAATTGAAATTCATCTGCTGAAAACTACGTAAATAGCATTCTTCAAATACGAACGTGGAAATGGCGCAAAAAACGTGAACGATTCCTAGTTTCGAAAAAGGAATTTAATTTTTATTTAAAAAGTTCACCTGTTGATCCAGTTTTCTTAAGTTGGGTCAATGTTATCAAAAAAGCCCCAATCATAAATCCTTCTAGAAAATCAAAGAGCTTAAAGGCCACATAGTTTTTTTATTGAAATTCGAAAGTTGAGGTTCTTCAAAAACAAGTCTGTATTTTTTTTCTTTTTCATTGCGTTCGTGACTCTTTTCCAACTGTCGGTTGACTTTGTTTTACTGATAACAAGTTAATCTTTGTTGTTCAGATACCACCCTTGCGGCTACTTTTTGATTGCGGCACAGTTGAATGCACCTGTGCATACAGTCATGTACTTCTACTACCTGTGCTCGTCTTTCCCTTCCTTGGTACCCTTCCTGTGGTGGAAGAACTACATCACGACCATTCAACTCATTCAGTTCGTTACTGGTTAGTCAACTCCAGCTACTCTTACTCTTATTTCGTCATCTACTCTACTCCTACTTGTCTCGCTCCTGTTTGTCTCCAATGACCAATTTCTACTTTTTTCAGCCTCAAAGAACTGGTTACTTGAACTGTCAAAAAATGTAGTTCTCGTTCTTTAGGAAGGTCAATTTTCTAAGCGATTAAACTGATAATCTTTTTTTTGGAGATCTATATTGGTTACAATCAGGTACAACAATCTGCAGATGTCATAAGTTTTGAGATGTTAACCGAACGACTTTCTATCACAAATAATATCTTACTTGCGAGAGCAATTGACTTGTAATCGGGATCTAGAATTTTTCTCGTGAAGTTTTCTTACAAACCTCGGGCTCGAATGGCGGCCGGAGCTTGCTTTCTTGACACCATGTATCTATGTATATGTATATCCTGCTTTTTAGTAGAACCTCGACACCATTCAGGCCCTTTTCACTTGGTGTAAAGGTAAAGCACTTGACTTCGGTGCTCAAGTTTTGTAGTTCGATCCCCGGTGGGACATTTTTTATGATTTAATAAAAATTGACCTGGTGTCATTGTGGAACCTCAGTATCATTCAGAATAGCTTCAATGTGGAGCCTCAAGATCTCTCACTTGGTCTCGAGATAAAGCAGGCGCCTTCGGAACATAAGGTTTAGGGTAGAAATATACAAGTCTTGATGATTTTTTTTATTTTTCACGTACCATTTTCATTTTTCGCGGTTTGACTTTTGATTTCTGTTTAAGTTCAGTTCATTTTCTTTGTTAAAAGGTGGGGAAACTGCACTATCGAACAGCAAAAGTGAAATGTTCATGAAAAGCATGATTGATTTTCAGTTACGAAAGTGGATTTTAAGGTTCAGATTTTCCAGTGGAATAAAAAAATTTACCAATTGATCCAACTATTTCAAATTAGTTTGAATTTACCAATAATGCATCAATCATATTTATTTAATTCAAAGAGCATGAAAAACTTTTATGTATTTTGAAGTTCGAAATTAGAAATTTTCAAAAAAAGGCAATTTTTTTTCTGTTTCCTTCCGTTCATTACTCTTTTCCAATTTTCAGTTGGCTATTTTTACACAAACAACGCTTGTGTTATAGTATGAACTATCTTTTTTTTCCAATTTAAGTCGCAAATATTGTTGCGACGCAAATTTTATTGCGATAAAATGTATTCATTTTGAAAGTGATAACTTTGATCAATAACCAGCTATTAAGTACAGCCAATGCTAAGGATATAAACACTGACTATTATTGTTCCGACTTTCGTAACGAAAGTAGCGGAATATTTGTGCTTGGGGTGGTTTTTTCTTCAGTTAAATTTCGACTTTTTAACTAGCCTTTTGACAGGGTTCAAAAAGTAGTGTTGCCCTGAGCTGAAATTTGGAAAGATATTTTACCTGTGATCCTTTTTTGTAAAGTTATTGGGGTTTAAAAATTGCCATATATGCCAATTTGGGACAATTAACGCGCGATATTTTTCGCTCTAATAACAAGTAAGCGGAGATTTAATCCGCCAAAGAAATCGTTCCAAATTAGTTGAAGGAAGCTTATTTGCCATACTTGAATTGACTAGTAGCGAAATTTATCCCTCTGTACTTAATATGGCTTGTGGGGGGATGATTTTCACAAAAAATCTCAAATTAAAAAAAAATTTCGTTTTTATTTTTTTCTACATTTAATTTTTCTATGTTATTACTGCTCCATAGACTGCTGTATAAATTGAGGTATGTTAGTTGGCAAGGTTCTCTATTTTTTTTATCAAATTGACTGGTACTGCTAATGCTTCATAATTGGCGTCCGTCACTTACGAAATTTTGAAGACTGAAAGTTTTACTCATTCAGTTTTTCCCAGTAGCGTTATCGGTCATATTTTTGCTTGTGTATGCGAAGTGCAATTTTGCCTCTGTGTTATTATTATGAACTTACATTACAATTCAAACAATAAAATGGTTAATGCATTGAGTCTGTAGGAACTGATTACCTTTGTGACGTTGTTAGTCTCATCGTTATGGTAGAATTTTTGGAAACGTTTTTTCAAAGTGCTCCCAGAAGTAGCGGAGATCTATTGTCATAAAAGTCAATGAAGTGATCATCCTTGTTTATAAGCAGCAGTGCACGAAACCAGTAATTTCCACTGGACTTGGACAGGGATTCCTCAAAAACTCATCTACCTACTGCGATAATGTTTACTCAGCATGAGATATCAATGTCTTATATTGAATTTCCTGTTTTATTTTTGATAGCGTTAATTATAGGTTTTGTGATATTGGATTTATGTTGGGCTTCTTAAAGCATCGCGATAATTTGACAAATTGAGTAATCCATGGAACTGAAAAATGTTGATCCATTTAAAGTTTCCACGTCCAGAAATGTTCGCAGGCCAGCTATGCGAGTGTGATTTAACACAGGGGGAATCAAAGTTTTGCTTGTCTCATATTTGCTTTGACGCACAGATATCTCGAGTTTCAATGGACCATAGATAGTAGTTAACCCAGTAGCTGTTTTCATAAGAGAATCAATCAATACGAGAAGTCTATTTCTAACATTTTTTTGATCAAGATGTTAAGTGATGGCTTTCAAATGCGTTTTGCCCATCGAAGTTTCGAGAGCACACCTATTCTCAAGTTTCTCCTTTTTCTTACGTACACGCTCATTCTATTCTCCTCACACTGTTTTATATTCGCTACTTCTGTCTGCGTGCGTATTCAATAATTTTACATCCACGCGCATAATTTGGTAGGAAAGATCAGTTTTTCAGCTCAATTTTGTGTTTTAGGAGTTATAATTAGCATCTACTGCTTCTGTAGACAGGCCATGGTAGGCTACTCGATGGGACTGAGTTTCTTCTTCGTGTTCACCTTCATCCTCTATGGAATCGCCCTGTTCGCTCTCTTCAGAGCCTTCTACAAGCAGACATACCACGCCGCCAAGAAGGCAAAGGCAGCCGCCGCCGCAGCTGCTGCTGCAGCAGCAGCATCATCAGGCATCGCAACATCGGCAGGCACGAATACGGATTCGACCTCTAAGAAGGACAAGTGATTCATAAACTTCAGTAGGATGAAATAGGAAATAAAAAGAGGAGGCATTGGATTTGATTGGGTGCAGTTACTTTTCTGCAATAGGAACCAAGTGTCTGTGAAACTGAAACTAAGCAGTAGCTATCTATTAATGTTAAACTAAATAACTCGATCTGTTCCATGTGGCGAGATGTTTATTTATGTTCATTTGTACTAACTTAACTTGTTATTGGGTTGATAACTCAATTTAAAACTGATACTGACTTGTTTGTGCTCAGCTAAAGAAGCCATAGCTATTGGATATTATCCTTTGTTCCATCTACAACTCTCAGGTACAAGAGCAAAGCTCTGTAAAATATATACACGATAAATTCAGCCATGACATGTTGGACTAAGATGCATACATTTTCGATGCTAATTTTTTGCCCTTTCACACCTCGCAATTTAGAATATTGACAATGTTGATATTAACAAGGTATTTGATTTAAAATATGAAAGCATCTTATTTCTGTGAGCAGTAATCCCTGAATTCATATTCATATTAAATATTGTTAATTAATTTATTCTGACTTGAAGCTGTTGAAAACAATTAAATTTAAGAGTTCCGTTACGTGTACAAGCGAGTCGTGCACATGAATATGGCCCAGTAAAAATCTGGCGCTAAAAATGACGATCTGATTCACAGTGTTTTTTCAGTGCTCATTAACGAAGTTATTTTTATGTTATTCAGGTCGTGCAGTTTTGTTTTTAGATTCCGGACGAACAAACTACCTAATTACCAAATTCTCGTAAGTCTAATGTGAAGCTAAATAATCTGTGGATTACTGCACTTAAAGTGGATTTTAAAAAGCGCTATTATAATATATTATATTAGGCTCTCATAATCAAAGTTAAGTTTGTAGTAGTGTGTCGTCACAGAAAATTTTTTAGATGTTCTTTTCGAGTTTTTCAAGCTTTGGTTGATCGGAATTTTGGGATTTTGGCTTATGTTAAGTTGGCTTGTGTTTTTTCCTCTTATGTTTTTTTCCGCTTATGTTTCATTTTGGTGTCGCAGGCTTTAGTTTCAGCAGTGGGTCTATGGTGGGTAAGAAGAAAATGTCAAACTTGTTACAGACTAAGGTTTTTCTGTATTAAAGCTTGCGATTAGCCAGCCTTATCAGTTTGGAATCAGTTTAATATCTTTGTTCCAGGCTAATATTAAATAAAGGCGTGTCAAACAAGAATAGTTGTCCAAGTAAAAATTTGAGCATGTACGTATGTTGAAATTCCGTTTTTCTAGAAATTGGTTTACGTTGGTTAACTCCGATTTTTTATTTTTGTTTTTTTTTATCGCGAAAAATGTTTTTTTTTTTGTTTTTATGTTGGCACGCTCTCAAAATACATTTGTTTCGGCCCAATGGGTGTCTACCCAAATTTTGACGAGTTAGTTACCAAATGGTCACTGTATCTCTCTCTCTCTCTCTCTCTCTCTGTCTCTCTCTCTCTCTTTTTCTCTGCAGGAAAATTGTTTTTTTTTTTTCAATTTTTGAGTCTAGTAATGGTAGTTTTTTTAATAGTTAAGTGTCTTTTTGGAATCAAAAACTTAAATTCCAAAATCTGCAAAAAAATTGTTAATTTTTTTTTGTTTTTTTAGCGATGTTTCTCCTAAAACTGTTTTCAATTTGCTTATTTTACTATAACTGTCGAATAGGCTGAATCTCTTATTTTTCGTTCAGTTCAGTTTTGTTACACCACGCCGACTAAAGGAGACTAATTGGAAAAAAAACTTGTTGTATTTTTTAAGATTATGTTCGGAACATTCTGAGCTACTTGCGCAGTAACCGGCTGTCCTTGTTTCACTAAGAATTTATATCAGGCTAGTTATTTGTAGTTTTGTGGTTTGATGGGTGGTTTTCTTCATTTAATTTTTTCGTTTGGTAAAACTTTTTATTTGAATTAAGTTTTAAAGTATTCAATTAACAAAAGGATTTTTTTAGTTCGTGTGGTTTGTTTTTTTTTCAGGAAAAATTTTTTCTTGCTGAATTTAGTTCTTTTTTGGAGATTGATTTTAGATTATTTTCAAGTTGAGTTCAAACTCATTTGCTAAGTTGAAGGCAACTTACGCTCTCCCATGACAAAAGTGCAAATGATCTTAATAAAATGAATTTTAGTCTCAGAAAGACATTAATTTCAAAGTTCCCAGAGGAATATAAGAGATACCTATTCGTCCAGTTTTCTACAATTGGACCAGTGTTACGAATTTGGTGGCAGGACAATCTACCCTGTTCCAAACTACCCTTTACACATTTCAAAGTGTCTGTTGGCTACGTTTTGCTTTTATTGCCTGGTTGCTAACAGGATTTTGTTAAGAGGCCATGTTTTCTAAATTATCATCCAAAATAAAACAAATTTTTTCATACGAAGTATCTTTGTTTATTTTTTTTCAGGAAAATTTGAAATTTACGTAAGGTTTGTACATGAGACATTTTCACATAAAGCATGTTCAACTCAATTTTTTGTTGTTGAGCTTTTCTGACTGTTACAATTTTGCCAAAACTGAAATCTATTATATATTTAAATGCGGGCTTTTTTATCTTGCCGTGTTTAAACTTTTTCAACGTATTATTTTTGCATGTTTAACAAAAGAATTTTTTCACGTTTAAGCTATATCGTATATTGCAATGGTTACGATTTTTTCGATTTTCCTGGTTGAAATCAGTGTTTACTTCAACAAGTTTGCAAGTATCAACCCAATAGTGAGATGCTGTCAGTGAGATGCTGTCAGGGCTCTGTCAGGGTACTCCCAGGAGTTGTGAATTTTATCTCCAAATATGATTGCTCAAATCCTTGCTCAAATATGATTGCTCAAAACTGAAATCTATTATATACTTAAATGCGGGCTTCACTATCTCGCCATGTTTAAGCTTTTTAACGTATTATTTTTGCATGTTCAACAAAAGAATTTTTTCACGTTTAAGCTGTATCGTATATTGCAATGGTTGAGATTGGTTTTCGATTGTCCTGGTTGAAATCAGTGTTTACTTCAACAAGTTTAGAAGTATCAACCCAATAGTGAGATGCTGTCAGGGTTTCCCCGGATATTGCGATCTCGGCCTCCATATATCAATAAGCAATTCTTTTAGTTTACGAGATACGGCAATTTTTTTTTGATTTCAAAAATTTTCAAAAAACTTAAGATTTAGAATTTCGAAAACTTCGAAGATCTCAATCATCCTGTAGTTGGAAATTGTGAGGGTTCTCTCAGGAATTGCGAATCTTGCCTCTGAATATGACTGCTCAAATCCTTGTAGTTTTCGAGATATGATGTTTCTTACGATTTTTTTCAAGATTTTTAAAAGAACTTAGATATAAATAGTTTCACCAAATTTGAAGTTCCTACCTCAATATTGAGGCTCTGTCAGGGTACTCTCAGGAATTGTGAATTTTATCTCCAAATATGATTGCTCAAATCCTTGTAGTTTTTGAGATATGACGTTTTTTGTGTAATTTTTTTTGAAAAAGTTTTTAGAAAACTTAAATTTAATTTTATTTTTAAATTTGAATTTCCCAACCGTTTTTTTTGGGGCTGTCAGAGTGGTCACAAGGTCTCAGGTGTTTCGAATCTTGCCTCCAACTGTGACTGCTCAAGTCTTTGTAGTTTTCCAGTTATGACGTTTTTTTGTTATTTTTTCAATTTTTTTTTTCAAATTTTGATGTTCCTAACCACCTGTAGTTGGAGGCTGTCAGAGTACTTTCAGAGATTGCGAGAGATCTTGCCTGCAATTTTGGCTGCTCAAGTTTTTTGGTTGTTTTCGAGATATGACGTTTTTTTTCTGGTTTTTTCAAAAAAAAATTTTTTTTAGAAAAAATAATTTCAAGTTTCTCAAAATTTGAAATTCCCAACGCTGTAGTTGGGTACTGTAAGAGTAAATCTTGCGTCCAAATGCGACTGCCCAATAAGTTTTAGATCCGAGATGTGATGTTTTTTAATTTTTCAAAGATTTTAAAAAGTTTTTCAAAGATTTTAAAAAGTTTTTCAAAGAACTTAGATATAAAAAACTCAATGGTTTTTTTTAAAATTTGAATTGAAAAAACTTGAATAGAAATTTTTTTCAATATTTGAAATTACCAACCCTGTAATTCGGTGCTCTTAGAGTACACTCAAAGGATGCTGATTTTTTTGCATTATTTACGGTTTTTTATGAGTTGTTGAAAATTCGAAGCAACGAGGTGCGTTACACGCTAGTAATATATGAAATTGTCAAAGTTGCACTAGGCTTGAAAAGTTTATATTGCAATTTTTTTTCTAGATTTTCCGTTTCACTGTATGGTTTTTTCCGAATCCTAAATTATAAACTATGCTAAATGAGTTAACAAACTTCAAAATCTTTTAACATTTGAATAACCCTTTAACATAGATCGAATCCCACATCTTGTTGTAGCTACACCGACTTCTGTTTGAACGTTGGTTAACTCCGATTTTTAATTTTTGTTTTTTTTTTATCGCGAAAAATGTTTAATTGTTTTTTTGTTGGCACGATCTCAAAATACATTTGTTTCGGCTCAATGGGTGTCTACCCAAATTTTGACGAGTTAGTTACCAGTTGGTCACTGTATCTCTCTCTCTCTCTCTCTCTCTCTCTCTCTCGCTCTCTCTCTCTTTCTCTGCATAAAAATTGTTTTTTTTCAATTTTTGAGTCTAATAACGGTAGTTTTTTTAATACTTAAGTGTCTTTTTGGAATCAAAAACTTAAATTCCAAAATCTGCAAAAAAAATGTTAATTTTTTTTTGTTTTTTTTTTCAGCGATGTTTCTCATAAAACTGTTTTCAATTTTTTTATTTTACTATAACTGTCGAATAGGCTGAATCTCCTATTTGTCGTTTAGTTCAGTTTTGTTACACCACGCTGAATAAAGGAGACTAATTGGAAAAAAGTTTGTTGTATTTTTTAAGATTATGCTCGGAACATTCTGAGCTACTTGCGCAGTAACCGGCTGTCCTTGTTTCACTAAGAATTTATATCAGGCTAGTTATTCGTAGTTTTGTGGTTTGATAGGTGGTTTTCTTCATTTAATTTTTTCGTTTGGTAAAATTTTTAATTTGAATTAGGTTTTAAAGTATTCAATTAACAAAAGGATTTTTTTAGTTCGTGTGGTTTGTTTTTTTTTCAGGAAAAATTTTTTATTGCTGAATTTAGTTTTTTTTTGGAGTTTTATTTTAGATTATTTCAAGTTGAGTTCAAACTCATTTGCTAAGTTGAAGGCAACTTACGCTCTCCCATGACAAAAGTGCAAATGATCTTAATAAAATGAATGAATTTTAGTCTCAGAAAGACATTAATTTCAAAGTTCCCAGAGGAATATAAGAGATACCTATTCGTCCAGTTTTAAAAAGTTTTTCAAAGAACTTAGATATAAAAACCTCAATGGTTTTTTTTTAAATTTGACTTGAAAAAAACTTGAATAGAAATTTTTTTCAATATTTGAAATTACCAACCCTGTAATTCGGTGCTGTTAGAGTACACTCAAAGGATGCTGATTTTTGTGCAATATTTACGGTTTTTTATGAGTTGTTAAAAATTCGAAGCAACGAAGTGCGTTACACGCTAGTAATATATGAAATTGTCAAAGTTGCACTAGGCTTGAAAAGTTTATATTGTAATTTTTTTTCTAGATTTTCCGTTTCACTGTATGGTTTTTTCCGAATCCTAAATTGTAAACTATGCTAAATGAGTTAACAAACTTCAAAATCTTTTAACATTTGAATAAGCCTTTAACATAGATCGAATTCCACATCTTGTTGTAGCTACACCGACTTCTGATATCGATTATGCTTGC